ATACCAATCTGAAGGATGGTTGAGGGCTCCAAATGGAACTCGATGAACTGGGCTTGACCGTTTGGTTGGACATGGGCTTGTCGACAGGACAGGGATGACGCTCCGCGTTCACATGTGAGTTGAAACTAGAGAAGCCTATCAAAGCTAGGTGGAGGAGGGCCAAGATTTTGGGGGTTGAAAACAGGGGGGTAAAAGTGAAACTGGAACGGGACGATAAGAGTGAAAAGCGTAAGAGGGGAATAAGAAGACTGGAAGGCTTGAGCAGTAGCATCCAAACCCCTACCCACCCTGCTCGATGCAGCAGATAGGGCACTGTTGACTATCCTCTGCAGTGGCCAGAGCATCAAGCAACTGTTTGAAGCGAAATTCTTTGAATTGCATGGGCAGGATACTGTCAGATTGTCCAGGCCTAGGCAGGAGAACGATTAGGGTTCTCAACCATAGCCTTTGTTTCAAAAACCTGACCGCAAGGCAGTGGGTTTGGCGTCGGGCTACAAAGAATCCGTTTTAAGGAATATGGAGCCACTTCATTCCAGCCCCCAACCTGGAGGATCAGGAAGCTGAGTTTGTCTGGCCTCTAACCATTGATCAATCTGGTATGAGTAGCTCTGAAGCTTCAAAAAAGATTCACCCAGCATAGCTCAATGAATGACTGAGGCACACAAACCATCGCACCACGGTAAGGTCCAGCCTCATTGTGATGGCCGTGATAGAACACTTCATGATAGAATTCACAACCCTGGTTAAAGCAACCTATTGTCAGAAAGCCTTTCGCTGTATACCTTGATATGATCTGTAGTTTTTGAGCAACAGGGAACATTGGACTTTTATACATTTGAGTGGCTCGCATTTCCGTGTAACTATGTCGACCGGAACCGACCGATCGACTAAGTCGAACACACGCAAGGAATCGAGAAGCGCAGTTTCTGTCTATCTACGGCACTTGCGACGCCGCTTAAGCAATAACACCAAGTGGATGCACGATCTACACATCAATGTATTGTATGAAAACCGATCTGCTCTTAAACCATCCGGTATTCCCGTTTAGCAGTGAGTCAAAGAGGAATATTGACGCCAGTACCTTTCGCACTAACGGCGGGAGGCCCATACCATGCAGCCAGCATACTCGGTGACATTGCCCCTCCTACATACTGGAACTAGGTTTAACTCACCCCATCTGGTTGGGATGCTTTCTTCCTTCCATCCATATATTTTTGAACAGTTGAATCAGTGTTTTGTAGATAACTTTGAAAGCATTCTTTGTTAGCGCGCTAGCTAACAAATTCGAACTAGTAACGCGACAACGATTGAGAGCAGTGATTACGCTTCGGCACACAAGATCTAATGGGACGTCTAAACTAATGGAGCATGATTCGCCCTGCAACATCTGAGCGCGCCAGCTGAACTGCTCTCCAACAAGTCAGACAGCGTTCCTTGTTGCTGGTCTAGCGCAGTCCTCGATTGTCCCAATGGCCTGGGAACAGTGATGCGAATAAGATGGAAGAGTTCGCCTTAGCTTCACACTGCACAGCCCTCCTTCATTTCCTGAACCCATTTGGTCCGACAATTTCCCATGTGTGCACACAGGGTCCACCTTAGCTCCTGGATAATGGCCCATCTAATCACACTATGCTCAGTGCCAGCAGGGAATTTGTATCCAGCTTCAAACAAGTCGATGGATCTCCAGAAAATCCAGGACCTCTGGAGTCGTGGTTGGAGGCCAGGATCCTATTCCACTGAAGCTTAGGGTCTTGGGAGTAGTTGGGTACAGTTTAGTAAGCAGGGCGTTCTGGTAGTTTTGGCCTGATGAAGGTCAAGATAACTTCTCAGTTGGCAACGGAGGAGATATTCGGTAAGTCTCCCGATAAAGATTATGGAGAAGCGACAGTGTACCAAGCCATTGTCAGCGTTGACGCGATTATTTCAGTACGAGCAGTAGTCAAGGATGGGCCCATCGATGACTAGTTATCGGAGGACGCCAAGCGGCAGGTTATTGCCTACTGTATACGTACACCGTGCGTCTAACAAACATCCGATACTTGCTGAAAGTTGTAACGATCAACATGTCCTTGCGATCGGAGCAAAACCAGGACACCCCAATTAGCTGAGGGGCTCACGCGACCTACTTGTGCATTTATATCAACTGCAAGTAGAATGAAGTACCACGTTGAGTTCGTGGTAAAATAAATCCTAAGTATCTTTGGGACCAGAGCCATTAGAGGTATTACATAAAACACGCGTGAGTTAACCTTCGGTGCCGTCAAACAGACTGCACACAGGCGTCTGCCCATGAGGATCCAACCAACCAACAACAACTGGTACTGGGAAGGATGCGGTATCCAGCTTGACATGTGGCTGCTGCGTTAGTGTCCCCGGATATATGCAACCGATAGCGAGACTGGAGTTAGGGTCCCGATGGTTGGTTGACCTCATGACGGTCGTGGATTCTAAGTTCGAACAAGCAGGCCACATCAACACTCATTGTGTCCGATGGGCGCGCAAGTGCAAGCTGTTGACTTGCCTGCCTCAGAGAGCGAACGTTGAATATCACCAGAAAAACCACACTACATTGTCTGATAAGACACTTTTATAACATAAATACAGCTGTAGATGTAAGAACTTCGACCAACCAATCAACAACAGCAGTACCTCAGCTATTTGAACCGGTGTTTCACTGTCATACAACCACGATGACCTGTGGAATAAAGAATAATAAGAGGGAGAGAAGGCGGACTTATTTGAAAACATTACTGCCCTAAGCAAATATTCAGGGTCAAAGCGCCTATATCTTGTGTTAACAACATACCGTCACAAAAGTTGGCCATCATGCATAAATAAGATAGCATCAGCGAGACAGTTTGCTTGTGGCTTTCACTGCCCCGCGTCATAATCAGACATTACCCCGCAGACATCTCAACACAAAACACACATTAGAAATACAATCCGAATAGGAGACGGCAGCAGACGCGCCACTGGTGTCGACTTCGAGCCACGTCCAGTAAAGTCCTGAGCAAAGCACAAGCCGAGTCACGTGGACTCCAGCCGAAAGGCGAGACGAACCGACGGCACCCAGTTTGAACGTTAGTGATTTCGTTTCCCACTGCCAAGTCAACTTTTATCCATCTCGAGCTTTGTGTCACCCTATATCTGGCAGACTAAACAAGGCACCCTTCGGTAAGCGGTGACCAGGCATACGAAGTACGTACCCAAGCCAAAGTAAATTGTTCAGTGCTATCTGTTGTTATAATGAATTAGCTTAGTTATCACTGTCCGGTCTTCGCCCACGCCAATCATCGTCGCGGGCTCGCTGGTGCCACTCGACACCAGCAATGTTCCTCAGACAGCGATGATCAAAAACTTGAAGCCATCTCAAATCATCCGATCGAAGGTGTCAAGTTTCATTCCCATGGTGCTGGACGGTCCTCACTATGGCATTGTAAACATGGTCTTTCAGACGAAGAGAAACTTTCTTCTATCGCTACCGTTTCAAGAAGGCAGTTCTGGCCATCGCAATGAGTGAAGTGATTCAGTCTTTATGCGTCCGTCATTGCTGATGCAGTTGCCAAGGTAATTGAATCGATCAACCACGGCGTGTTCCTAGCTGCATGAGATCAAGGGGTCATTAAGTGGCTGGTGATCCTATAGCAGTACTTTGCACTTTGAAGGTGCGAAGCGCATACCAAATAATGGGACTACTCTAGACAGACTATTCAGGGTTGATAGTGCCTCCCCAACGTCGTAAAACAGCATGACGATATTGTCCGCATAAGCAAGGTCAGGTAGTCTTACACCAGGTAAGACCCCAACGTCTAGATGGTGAGATTCCGTAAAGGAACACTGCATGATGGAGTCCACGACGAAGTTGAACAAAAATGGGGAATTGGACAACCCTGACGAACGCTACTTGTTTTCGGAAAGCTATACGCCAGGTTACTGTAGACCATGACGCGGTCTAATGTGTTCGAGTATAGGGCAAGTTAGATGTTCAGATATTTCGTGGAAACATATTTCAGCGCAAGTATTTCGAACAGAATGCATCGATCGACTGAATCGAACGCATACTTGAAGTCGAGGAACACAGTTACTGTCGGTCTACGATATGCGTGGCGCTGCTCTGTCACCTGTCACAGAGTGAAAATATGGTCTATACAGCCACCTCCTGGACGGAAACCTGCTTGCTCTCCCTAATCCGAGAACCGAGGCCAGTATATTTCTTACAGCTGCTGGTAAGCTAATACCACCGTGCTTAGCACATTCGGTGCGACTGTCCTTCTTGTATTTTGCCACTATAATCGATGAGCCGTGCCATCACACAGTTAACTAATTCATTGTACCGGCCTCCACCGCCACCTTTTGTGCGGCAGCCGATTCTCAACATTCGGAGCTGGAAGGAAGCCGCTAGGAATCATGGGTAACTCGAAAGGAGAGCGCGCTGTTCACGGTCACCGATCGGACGAACTCACCGTTAATAATGAAAGATGAGATGCGCTTTAAATGCTAAACCAATTACAAACACGATTTCACATCATAGTACTCAGTTCGACTGGTCCATTATATAGCCAGGAAATGAGTCAAGTTAAGCCAACTCAAAAAAGTGCTTTATGCACTCAGGACGGGTGGACTAGCAGCTGGAACACACAAACTTACAGCGATGCAGCATGATATAAATGCAAATGCAAAGGTGGATTATTAAAGAAATAGCACAATACCACCAAAGCATAAGCCGGCCCCTGGCCTGAAGGATCACTATCCGGTCTTGTAATCCGAAGGTGCGGGCTCGAGCCTACGTAGGGGACCGGGCGACCGTCGCAGTATCCTTAGTTTACGCACGACTGTTGTTGGTTGCGCGTCCGCGAAGCGTTGGTACTACATACCGGGATCGTACTAACAACTTTCTTTTATTTTTTCTCGAACGACATTGTTAGGCTCCATCAAAAATTGCGATAGATAAGGTATAACTGACAAATGTTAAGTTCGTGTTCGGGCATATATGGACTTACGATGCACCTGGTCTCCGAATCCATCTCATCAAACCCGGGGATTGGAAAGAACGGGCCACCGAAGCGTCGCTGTGATGGCGCCAGTCGCGTCGGTGGTGCCACCGCCGGCTGACCACCTTTCGAACCAACGGATGCAGTGGCTGTTCCGATAACGCCCGTGGATGTAGTCGTGGGAACCACTGGTGATCGAGGGTAATGAGGTGAATCCAAATTCGGCGTGGGTGATTTCTCAGAGACCTAAGTGATGGAAAGAAACGTAATGATGGTCGAAAGCATTTTAGCCAACACTTTAATTACGTGAGTATGCGATAGGGTGGTGAGGTTGGGCAAGAGAGGCGTTAACTTAGTTTCCTTCGCGTGACTCACTGTTGCTGATGCCGGAGCGGTTCGCCTACACTTGCTGAGACGATGCATGTTCGACCGACTTGCCCCCTAATACATCAACGATAGTACAAGATGGAGATGTATAAGTAGACAACAATCGAAAACGAAGGACCCGGTAAGTGACATAGACAGCAGGAACAACAACAACCACACAACAGGATTTGTAGTTAATAAGGTGGCTAAAAATGTCTGAAAGTAATCGGTTCTTGTGTTGGTTGGCTGCCTGGCTGGTTGGTGTTTTACCATTAAAAGAGAGAGTATTCGGCATGGAACGCGAACCACTGCGTTAGTTGAGTTGTGTCTCTTAGAGCTGTGTCAATGGTCATCGGTGCAACCGGATGGGCTCCTTCAGGCCGACATAACACGAATCAGAGTTCAACGATAAGACCCAAAAAGACTTCGTCCAAATAGGTAAATGTGTGAGACCATCAGAATCGCTCTGTGGGTTATGGAACATGAAAGACAGCAACCGAAGAATGTACAAGAACACATAAGCCTACCAATAGATTTATCGCGGCAGTGCGCACATTCCAGACAGGATGTGCGAAGCCGATTGGAAAATGGCCGTCTAAGTAAAAATTGAGTTCATGTAACTCACCGAAGACTCATCGTCGACGTAGTGATGCCTAGCAAAATAGCCTCTGGTCAGTAGCTAATCTTAACGCAACAACCGAACGGCAGCCGATCAGATTCCATGCAATTAATTGAATCGTATCATTGCGTCCAGCATCTCATATGTTAACAAGATATAATGCATACAAGTGGTTTTATGCACAATATCGTTAGTATGGCGAAGTACACCTCGATTACTTAACCCGGATACTTTCTGACTCATCACTGATATTGCGACTATCACCAAGAAAACCTCACAAAAACCGTACGAATCTCGTACCGAAGTCCAAGGTCGGAGGCCATGTACGTGGGCAAATTTAGACATTGTTCGATAACTACACCAATGGATATTTTCTGAACAATTCCGGGATCAAAATTATGCTTCATTTAGGACAGCACACTCAACACTTCACTGTATCTATTGCAAAACGCATGTCATTATTCACTTAGAATGGGTACAACAAACGGTGATGTCACATGAATACACTCACTGCGGATCGATGGTCAGAAGCAGGAGCACGTTTGCCGATTTTTCGTGCAGCATACTCAGCACTTTCATTTGTACTCACACGTCTCACGCGATCAGGCCGTGGTTTTGTCTTGGGGTAAGTTTGGTCTCCTTCCCTCCACTTCTCTCCGGTTGTGGAGTGAGTCTGTTGTTCAGCATGATCCTCAACCTCTCTCCCATTGTGGTCCACGAAGGGTGGTTCACTAGTATGTTCATGGTTGGGTGACTGAGATAAAGCGAAGTCATCGTTTTCGCTCCCGTACCCGTGTTCCTTCAGAGTCAGTTGCGAGGGTATGTCCACCATGTCTCGTTTAGACGACGCGCTGGCACTGGCGACGCTGGACGATGGAGGACTTCCTTCACTGGGCGACATGGTAAAATCAAACATGACATCCCTCACCGGGTCTATGCTCATTGTGTGAACCGAACTATGTTCATCATCGTTCCCGGAAGAAGAATCCATTAGTAACTTCGGTGACGCTTCAGCGTGCTCCATAGATTGTGGGGGGAATGCAATGTCGCTCACAGAGCAACTCTTGGTACGAGGTTGAAGCTTGGATAGCTGAAGTGGGGTTGTGTGAGCACAAATACTGCTAGATTGATCGGAGTGCTCGGAATTCTTGTCGTGCTTGGAATCGGCCACGACTTGATCCGGTTGACTCGGAGATGGCTGGGGAGAATCGATCGAATCCGATCGCGACGAAGCCGTTCGAATAGGGGCTAGAGAAAGTAAAGTGACAAGATTTCACAAGGCACTCTTTCGCGAATCGGATGAGACAAGGGAAAGTCGAGGACGTTTTATACGACAAACGAGGATTCATTTCCAACCAATGGGAGGAGCGTGACGAAGACGAACACATTCAATGCGTTGATCATATCTGTATCTAAGCGAAAAAAGTGAACGAAACTGGGTCACTGACCCCATGTGTTCAATGAGTCTGATGAGGGTGGGGTGCACAGGCAATTAACTCGGAAAATGAGCGTGTGTTACGCAACTGAGATGGCATAACCAAAGATCACTACTGATCACATAGCAACCGGATCACACCAAGCCTCATGAACTTGTTTTCCAATGCCCACGACGGTTCCCCTCAACCTACCACCCTCATTCTAACTTTGAGGTTACCACGCCAATCGCAGTCATCGCCTACTTACCGGACAATCACACTCGGGCCTAACCGGAGTATGCGAAATTACGTCACGGATACCAGTCAGTGTCTGACATTCAAGCGCAATTCTGAGTTGATGAAAACCCGGTGGTGTTGGTTCAGATCACCGACTGCGTTCCGCTGTCGCACAGTGTAAGCGCATTTGAGAGCGTGTATGTTATTATTGGGAGACAGGATTACTTCAAGTACAGTAGCCTGGAATACAGTGCTCATCCTTTTGATTTGATACTCCAGTCATGCACGCGTCGTTTTAATCTCTACGAATGACCGATAGGCTTGAATACCTAGTGATGACTCCGGACTTAGACATAATGAAACTGACATCCCAGGAACACCAGGTTGATCACTAGTTAAAATGTCACTAATGAACTGCATTTAGCACAACCGTAAGAAGACGAAAACTGACAAAGGTTTACATTTCGAATGACCTCGTCAGTCCTGTCTTTACATTGTTTCGGTCACACCATACCTGTAGTCTAGGTATTTTCCTATTATTGTAGCTGCTTCGAACTCACTTTTAACCAGCTTCTTTGCGTCCCCTCTCTCCACTAAACCATCTGTTGCTGCGACCACGTGAACAGTCTTAGCCTCCTAAACAGGACACAGCCTGGTAACATGTGAACTCTTCGCTTTGTATCTGATTCTGGGACATAGTTAAATGCAGCTACTATGCGCTTTCATAGTAAGTCAACAGAAAAGTGCTCGCGGGCAGGTGTTTTGCTTGTCTGTTTCATCCTGTATATTAATGCGGATCCAGGTGTAACAACTGGAAGGACGAACAGCTCGTTGCGCTCGAAGTGGGATATGTGTAATTACTAGGACCATTCTGAGATGCCTGGTGATTTCGCGCGAGCTTCAGCTGGTTATTTGGAATTGGACAAACAGAAATGGGTTTCTCATGAGCAATATGGCTTATAAGGGACGCACAGATTAGACTGACCGTCAAAACTCATCTCCCACAGACCACAGGCTACCACGGACTTTTGGACTAATTCATATGACCGGTGTGGCAGTTTTAGAATGCACCAACAACTACGGACATCCTAGTGGATTTAATCGCCTCGAGTTGAGGGAATCAACTCTATCCAAATAAGTGGTGAAATTTCCTCTGTTGTTCTGATGCGGAGTTCAACTCTTCACCGTGTTCTTTCACTTTAGATGTATTGCACCCAGGCGCTACGCTGTACGGTTCCCTCAGCTGCTGAAGACTGATGACACTCACCAAACGTGTGCGCACAGTGACACTCACTACCCTAACAACAGTTGGACAGAATGAGAATACCGCTATTGAATTCCCGTACACCACACAGGTACCGCCTTCCTTCAGTTGCAGAAACCCGCTATCATTCAGTGGCTTCTTTGATACCTGGCGGAAATGCAGCGCTTGCCACTGACGATGACGCAACAGGTACTTCTGTTAGTAGCATACTGATCGACTTCGTCTGTGCCCGGATTCACTCGTCCACGTGGCTGCGAGCAGTCACGCTACAAAAGGTGGATGAATGAGGTGAGAATTATCAACACCATAAGTACTTTCCAGTGATGGCCCTAACGGTTAAGGTTGGGAGGCACGCGAATGGAAAATGGTTCGTTTCAGTGGACCTGGTTTGTATGTTCATCAACGCCACAGGTCAACCTTGGGACTGTTAATGCAAAAGGAAAGGGTACCAGCAGTACGCAGTAGCGACTCTTCGCTGCCGCGCAAGCACCACCGGTCGCACGTGACTTAAGGCCACTGCGAGTGTCACTCTATCACTACGCAGGCTCGAACCCGTGATGTCAGATTACAAGACAAGTTTGTTACCCCTAGGCTGCAGGTCGATCGCTGTTAACCAAAGCATGATGGGAATAGAAGCAAACGTCTTATACTGATTACTAAGGGGCTACACGATTTTCGATGAAATTTTACGGATTCATCCCAGCTGCTCACATGCCAGATAGTCCCATTCCCAAATCGGGAAAAGCACCGGATGATCGCTTCGCCATATTGGGGCTCGTCACTGGTGCTGTGTGGATATAGCTGCTGTGTAGTGGACGCCTGGAGGGCAGCCACTGTCATCTGCAATGGTAGGAACCTTCATGGTAGTCTAGGCAAGGCTACGCTATATCCCAGTTAGCTTAGAAGTTATGACGATCTGCTTCCGTTCCTGATGGCACAGTGGCAGAAGCTACCGGCAGCGGTCATGAGTTTGCTTCCCAGCAGGGAACCGCGGGAACGGGTATTACTGAAGAACCCCAATAGGGCGAAACGATCGTCTAGCGTTTTTCCGGGTTGACGGTCAGATGCTTGTACTTGTGTGCTGCTCAGAAAGTCAGTAAACGTACATCCATTACCAATACTATAGCGAGGTGTGCCAACTACAGTCGATAGTAATGAGGCCAGTTTGAACCTAGCGCAACTCGTGGTTCGCTGGGTTCCGAGTAAATTGATGCTAAAGCATATGACGCTAAATAGGTCCACATCGCAGAGCAATTTCGGTTGGTTGGGCAACAACAATCTTCGTGTTGAACTGTAGTGGACCCAGTGGTTCGAGCCACTGTAAAAGAACAGAAGACGGCAGACGCTGGGGGAAAATACAGAGGAGCAAAAATTAAATGGAAGGAAGACCCGAAGAACACAAAAAGGTGCAGTTATGTAGTAAAATGATTGACGGAAAGCTGAATATAATGAAAAAGAATTCCATGGACCTCGTGACTGGGTCGTTACCACTCAGCAGGACTGATTCGTTATGGCCCCCGGGCTGTAGCAAGCGAAACCATACATTGACATGATGACGAGGTACTGATGTTTGCCACCACTGATGTGGCCCTGTAAGTGACAAAGAAATCTGATTTCCTATTCACACCATTAGACAATCCGATTGAGGTCGCAACGAATAGGACAGAGCTCGCTCAGATCCTCCGTTTCGGCCCCATACACTGTTCACTTTCCGGCATCCTAATGACGAGACCCGGACAATTCACTAAGCTACATTTTCCAATCGCTGCAACGCTCTGATCTTTTGCGCCTGACACCATCAAAGCGAGTCGCATGACCCCATGCATCTAGCATATCATACAGTCCAACAGGTTAATTTGCCGATAGATACACCTGTCCAAATAACCCGGACTACGGCATAAGGTATAATAACAAACAACGAAAAACAACACACGCTCTTTATGGTTTCAAGTAAACGTAAATCATAAGTAACCGACCTTCTTCCGTAGATATGGTGCGTAAGCCTGAATGCAGCCGAAACACCGCTTTGTATAAAGGTGGAAAGATCTGAGATTTAGTACCACACAACGCTCTCCTAAAGCAAACAAGCTCCTGCCTCGCTCTGTTAGCAGCATGTTGTTGTTCCTTATGTTTATACATGATCTAGTACCACTCCTCGAGAACCCCTGTTGTTTGTTGGCGATACCAAACTCGTCTTCAGGGGAGATAGGAATACGGTGTCGAAAAATCTGAGCACTGTAGCAAAGTGGTCTGAATCAGGGCACTTGCCACCGAACGCGGACAAATGTCAGCTCTTATCACCAAGTAACGTTGGGATTACGGTGCAAACATCCGCAGCGTCCGTGACTTTGCAGTGTGTAGACAAAGTGAGGGAGTTGCTCATCATCGTGGTAGATAACTTCAGGCTTTCGGCGCAGTGCTAACAGAGTGCCACAGTTTTTCGCTTTGGAGAGCGTGGTGTACCACTAGACCTGAAGTATTTCTCCCTTTACACAAAGCGGTGGTTCGACTGCACTTAGACTACTGTGTTCAGGATTGGGGACCGCATCAACAAAAGAATGTCGCTTGCTTAGATAAGGTACAAAGACTGGCCAGCAGAATGATTGAAGGATATCGATAAAAGTCTTATGCTGACTGACTGGCTTGCTTAAGTTTGTTCGCATTTGTATGTTGCGGATTAAGAGGGGGGGGTGATAGACAAATTCAAGATCATGAAGCGTCTCAGTGGCATTAAACGTACCGATCTCTTTGAACTAGCTACGTCGGACCAATTGCGGTGACCCACACAAAGCTTCTGAAACAGAGGTCCAGACTGGACATCCGATTGATATTGTTTACTGACCGCCTAGTACGCAGTTGGAATTTACTTCCCATTGCGCCAGTGGAATGTAATATGATGGAAGCCTTTAAAAGGGGCCTAGGTATGAATTGGTCTACTATGTTTCCGGAATCTCACTGAGATTACTTGGTACCAATTGGTACCAAATAGCCTGTGGCTGATAGCATGTCGTGGATAGTTTCATGAAATTATGAGAGGCTGTTCTTACTATTTTGTCTCTGCAGAAGTGGAAAAGTGGACGGCGAAGTGTCGGGGGCCCTGGCTTGCTTACCAGCACAGGAACCAGGACGTTTGTTAGGCGAAGGCGTGTTTCGTCCCTGAACACTGACCTGACCTCGGCCGGTGGTCGAGTCAAAAGCGGTTCGAATCCGCTTAGGGGCCGGCGTCCTCGCAGTATAATCAGCACAAGCGCGAATGGTGATAGTCACGCGGAAACGAAGCACCGTTACGCCGTACAGCTGACGATTTATGTATTATTTTCCACCTTGCACGA